AACCCCGCCCATCTTGGTGTTGTACTCGCGCACAATACTTGGTCGCATGACAGACACATATTGCTTGTCTTTCTTGGACCATCGCTGGCACACATCTTCTGGCTGTTCAGCATGAACAGTGGAAAGCATCAAAACTGCTTTGTTGTCATACCACTTCACCACACAAACCTTGCCATCTCCTCTGGTAACTGAGGCTGAGGCACCTCGTCCTTGCTCTTTCATGTCTTGGTCACTTGGTAGCTTCTGCAGTGGTTCAGTGACCCGGTTCTTCATTATTGTACCAGTTAGGTACACCTGCTTCTCCAGCATTTGATCTACAGCTTTCATGGATGTGAAGAACCGATCACAGTATACCTTTGTGCCAGGGTGTAGAGTTTTAGCCAGACGTGCAATAACCAGTACTCCCAAACCAAGTTCCTCTGCATCCTGGATCTGTGATCTCAGTGAGTTTGCACCTTGGTAGACTTCAAAGTCCAGCACAATGCCACCTGCTGTAGCCAGCACAAAGTTTTTCATGCCAACTGGATTGGGCTTTAGTGGCACATACTGTCGAAATGGGCAAGCTCCTGTAAATGGGATCATCTGCTCATCAATTGATACACATTCTGGTCGAGCCTGAAGCAAGCAGCCTTTGAGGATGTGATCGATAAAGGGCCTGGTCTTCCAGAATTTGTCAGCTTTCCTCATGTCTTCAGAAATGTCACTATCAATGACTACTTTCAGATGTTTCCTCAGTTTGAAAAATCTGTCACGCTTGAGTTTGTCACTAATGGCAGGGATTCTCAAGGCACTGGACCAGAACATTCTAAGCTGTGGGTAAGACACACAAGACATGAAAATGGATGCTCCAAAAAAATTATAAATCTCATCAACTGATGGGTTGAGAGAGCTACCACTGTTAGAGACATAGCATTTGTGCAGTTAGCAATTAGATTCATCAACTCTCTATCAATGTACTGCTCCATATAGTCCAGTGGCTGCCAGTTATGTCTCTCATGCAGAGTTTCCTCTTCAGCCTCAAACTGCACTATGTCTGGAGTGAAGGCACTTGACTTCCAGCGCACTCTACTTGTATTCTTGCTAGATCCTGGCTCAACACTTCTACCACGCTTACGTTTACGTGCACATTCTGTGGATGGTGGTGGCTCACTGTCACTATCACTGCTCTGCTGATCAGATTCTGATAAATCAGGTGGAATATAATCTTTATCATGTAGTAGTTCCACACCAGGATCAGCTTCTTCACCATCAGACAGCTCCTCCACATCAGAGTTCTCTCCTACTATTGCATTCAGCAGTCTTTCTGCTTTTGACAAAGAAATGGACCCTAGACATGTATCGGATAACAATAAAAGAAATTTAATCAATGTAGACTAATGTGTACCACATGCAACAACTGTTTATATTTATATTTAGTGGAAACCGTTAGTTTTTTTTCACAAATCTTCCCAAGCCATGTGTCATTACTTTTACACCTTCACATAGACAATGTATTAACATGGTCCCAATGTCCTCAAACGAGTACTTCATAGTTAGAAGCCTCCTAACTTGTTACTATTGCTAAAAGATGTCAAATTTATATACCATCTCAAACTACAGACATTAAAAAGCATAAATTAGCAGGTTTCAACCATGAAATGTTTTTAGGTTTTGTACCTTGTCCATTTTTATTTCTACGCCGTAGAACATCTTGACTGAGATCGACGCCATCTTGGAATTATAGTAACACATGTAATGTGCTTTTCCTACCACAAGATGGTGGTAAAAGTGTCTACATACGAGGACAACAGGTCTAAGTTGAGAAGAAATAAAGTATATGGTACAGGAAACCCAAAATGTGCGGTCCTCATATGAGGACGCAGGGACTCTAGAGGTTAAAGGAAAGTAGTTCTTATGATTCAATAATGACTTGTCCAAACTGAGATTTCTGTATGTGAGGTTTAAAAAAAATTGTGAGATTCTGTAGTGCAAAAAAAAAAGATTAAATGGTGTAGTCTCAAATGCCATCATCACTAAGTATGGCACAGAAGAACACACTGACATTTACTGCAACTGTTTGCTTTCACCTCTGTCCAGATTCAAACTTACTGCAGGTCATTACCTCCGCCACTGATGTTATGTTTTCATTTATTTATTAGCAGACCATTTCAAAGTATTATGTCATGTTGGGTTGAAACAGGAAATATTGTTGAACAGTTTCTTTTAACTGTGACTGTTTCATAACCTGTGTTTATTATTGTAACTGTGGCAAAGGTCCTCTAACCTTAATATTTTAACCCAAAACATGATCTCCCCCTAAACCAAGTCTATTTTGTGCCTAAAACTAACCAAATCATGATATTCTATAAGTTTAACCATGACCAATAACCAGTGGCAATGACTATCCAATGCACCTTGCACCATAGTGGTGCCAATTTAGGAGAAGGTAGAGACCAACAACCTAGCATTTAAACCTAGAGATGACTGTGCAGTCTAGAAAGGTCCCTCTAAGCTCTTTCTAGTTAGCTAAAGATTGTGTCATATTTCAGTGGCTCACTTCAACATTTTATAAAATAGTAATTAGAATGACATACTGTATATTTTAGATTAGTGCATGCTGAACATTTTTGAAGTATAACACTGATATTTCTGACGTCTTTTCCTTAAGTGTTATCAGTTCCAGTACACTTTGAGCATTAACTTGCAGAGACGTGAAACCTTCCTGTCAACATCATGTCTCCTTTAAGTGTTGTTTCACATTTCAGAACTAAAAAGGCTGTAACGGTGAAACAAAAACAGATGATTCAACGATAATGAACATACAGTATCTATTTACATGTTTTGCTCTTCTGTTATTTTGGAGGGGTTGGCACAAATATACACCTTTAGCAGTTGCAATATCCAGTTAAGTTCATACTGAGTACTACAGTTTACTTTATGTTTACTATTATCTCTGTTTATGCAAGTGCTTGCAGGCTGGCATATCCTTGTAAATAATGTGTTTCAAAGAGCATGGTCGAGCATGTAACAGCACATGATTCTGTTTCTGTTTCGTAACACTTTGGCATAGAGCCGGCTTCAGCCACACACACACTGCCAGACAGGGATATCCCAGCATTTTTGAGAGTGGGCCAGGCTGGAATACTCCCAGGTCCAATTTCCTGCATTTCCTGAGCCACTGCCAAAACTACACGCAACAGCTTCTCTGTCTCTCTCTGCCTCAGGTCTCCACTCAGCATTTTTCTGTCACTGCCAGGAATTTGGTCTATGCTTTACATTGTCATCGTTTTAGAATCTATTGTAATTGGCTCCTGCCGGGTTGTTAAAAGTTAAAATACATTTTACAGGCTGTGGGCACTCTTGGGTCATGGTTACCTTTTACTTCTTTTTAAGTACATAAACTCCAATGAAAAATAAAAGCAACAGAATGTCAAATGGTTCTTTTTAAGTTTTGCCCAGTGTTGTTCCTGAGGTCAACAGAAGTGCTACTCTAAACACTGACTGGTCTCTTTTGGTTCTGATCAGATTAAAACTTGTCTGTCTCAGTGGGGCTTTTTATATTTAGACCACATCTTGTTCTTATTTCCAAAGATGCATTTACTGCCTTCAGATGTGGTTTTGTTTTGCAGCTTTGAGCATGCTTAGTATGCAGGCTCCAGTCTGTCTGCCTAGCAGCCATAAGCATCCTTTTATTGTCCCATGACCATTATACTGAATGACTACATACAAATGACCCCCACAATAACTGCACATCCTGAGGAATCTTTGAAACATATAGCCCGACTGAACACAGAGCATGCATGCACAACCACAGTAAACTTGCCTTAATGTGTTTTCAGCAAGTGTGTCAAGTGTGTCTTAAATCTGTCTGCTGACACTTTGGGTTGGTCATTAGATCTAATAATTAGAACTAAAAATGCTTATATCATGTTGTTGATAGTAATTGTCAAGCATCCTGTCCACGCAAATGACTATGAACGTGATACACACCTAATAACAACAACAAAAAATCTAAATGTGCCATTAACTAATCATCACTATGAAGAGAAAACAAAGAACTGCCCACTGGCTCATCTCACCATTCTCAACACATAATTGTCTCTATATTGAGGCTATTGGTTTCAGCCACTATTTAAAGTGCATTTCCATGCATCGGTTTGCTTAATGTGCATGCTAATGCAGTCACTAATGTACACATTACATTTAGGGAAGTCTGTAAATGAGCCATCATAAATAAAAGATGACATGGAGCATCTACAATCACTCAGAAAGTATAGATCTGCCTGCTGCTATCTGGAAATATACTCACAACTGTATATTCATCAAATAACTTACTGTCATTAACTAGCCACTGACAAAACAAAAAGAGCTGTTTAGGAAAATGCCTTTGATTCAAAAGGCTACAATGAAGCATACACATTAAATGCATTACAGATTACAAACCCTTTAAAATGGCTTATTGGTTAACATATCATTTATTAAAACCTTGTAGATCAACTACAAACCATACAGCAAACATTTGGCTACCAGATTGTCCAAAAAGCTGATAAACCCTTTATAAGTGGTGCTTTATCAGAAAGCCTCAGTCTAACTTGTACCAAAGTTCCAGCTTTGCCCAATAGGAACTGATAGTTTGGAACTTTTTCACAGCAGCACCTTAGTTAAATTAGCTTAACAACATTTTGTATGTGCAGGTGTTGTGTGCTCAGTGACAGCTTGTGTGAACAGACACTTTATGGCGTTTTCCCCTTCACAAAGTACAAAACAGTAATATCAAGCTATGCTGTGGACCATTATAATGCCAAGTGGCCAGTCTTTCCGATAAAGGCTTTTGTTTATAGGATTTTAAATAATTAAAATTAATCTATTTAGTTAAATGAAAAAAATCCCTGTGGGTATTTTTAGATTGAAAAAAAAAACCCCTGCTGTCTAAGGTCTGTTGTCGAGCTCGCACATCCACTGAATGAACCCCAGTGAATTGCTTTCACTGGCGAAATTGTCAGTAGGTCCAGGTGTCTTACCTGTTTGAACTGCTCCTCATAGGTCCACTCGTGATGCTGGGGCTGCGGGTGCACCGATGGAGACTCTGCACCGCGGGCAGGGGCGAAGGCCGCCGGGACTCTGGACATGAGATGCATCTGGGCGCTCTTCGGAGACAGAGAAGCTGCCTGGAGTGAGGACTGTCGGTGCTGGTAGTGGTTCAGACCGACATCGTTCTCGTCCTCCTCCTCTTCCATGACCTCCTGCTCTTCTATGTCATCTAATTCCTCGTCCCGCTCATTATCGTCGCTGTCCGTTCTGGAGGAGTTCCGGTCCTCGGCGGGTCTGCGGACCTCCATGTGAGGGAGTGTCCCGCCGGGAGAGGAGTTGGCAACTCCGGCAGCCAGGGCGCCACGCATCGCCGCCTGGTAGTGGCGGAAAGCCAAAGCTTGTTGGTGTATCTGGGACTCCATCATGGACCGGAGGTCCTCCTCTTTCTCCGCCTGACGGAGCTTCTCCTCCAGAGCCAGACGCGCCGCCTGTTGCCGCTGCAGGGTTTCCATCACCGCCTCGAGCTTCATGCCGCCGCTGCCGGGCTGCGTGGACGGTGCAGCCGGGAACGGGTTGTGGGAAGAGGCGGGGGGAACGAGAAAGAGCCCTGCTGCGAGGGGACGAGAGGATGGTCGTGTAACGATTATCACATTAAAACACACATTTGTCTCATTACACACTGAGACAGTTTTGGTATCGGACTTTAGTTTGTAGCATAAAAAGAAAAACCTGTCAAATATTTGACGTTATCAAACAAGCGAACGTGGAAAACATGCACTAAGTAACTAAAACACTATGAAACTGTCCAAACCAAACATCTATCAAAGTGTAACATTACTGGTAAAACTTTTAGTGCAACATTTGCTGTCGGGTTGTGAAATCTAATGCTCCAAGAGAAATAAAGCCCGGACTCTTACCAAAGCAGATTTAGTTGCCGCACTCGTGTTGTCTACCATTCTTCTCTCCGTCACATGCACCGAAATATTGTCAATGGATCACAGGTCTTTTTTCACTTCTTGTAACGCATTCAACAGCCACACATTTAGGTCTCGATAGGTTTTAAAAATAAATATTTGAACGTGTTTGGTGTTGAATGGCGAAGCCCCGAGCTGCTTTTGGCAACAAGTGGCAACTGTAGTAAGAATGACCTCTGGAGGCAGAGATCAGCCCTCCTGCTCCTCCATCTGCTAAATACACGTCAATCCTGAGACATGGTATGAAGGTATGGGAGACACTGCTCTGATCAAGGCTGCTCCAGACCTCTCTCCTAGAAATGTGTCACTTTTTAATTAGCTGCTAAATTAAACATGCTCACATTAGCCTAACCTAACCACTCTGTATTGTTTATATGCAGTTTTGGAAACTTTTTATAAAGCCACATTATAATTATAGGATAATAGGCAGGATTATTGATAGGCCGTGATACAGTCTGGTGTTCACTGTATCTGGGCGTTGCTGTGAAGCATGTGTTTAATACCTATACAACACAAAGTTCTATCCACACAGTAATTAAACTTGAAGTTGGAATTTAGCTGTGAATGTCTGCTCCCAACAAATCCTACCAGACAATTCCAACATCATCACACTGATGCAAAAATCATATTAAAATCCATTCTGGTTTAGCAGCTCTGCTCATTGATTTGCACTATTGTCTACAGTGACCCAATAAATCCAAAGAAATTCACAGGAGTGATACGCCTGTTTAATACACTGTGGAAAATTCTCTCATACTTAACAATGTATATTGTCTGATCATTCCTACCAGCTGCCTTTCACCTGTATTTTCACATACATTCATTTGTATTATCTTGACTTCAGAGGGCACAGAAACATGACCCCTGACGTTACACGCATGGAGAGAAAAAGGACACCTGTCCTCCACTATCACACAGCTACTGCTGCTGCACTGCTCATCATCTCTGACATTACACCTACAACAGACACCTTTACTGCAGTTCCAAAACATCTAATGCCGTCTCTATCCACCTGTTAGCATTCTAAAAACCAACTAACTTGTTTGGCTTTGCCTTTGGATATCATTAAGGTGTGCAAAATCGAAGCTAAAGGAAGAGAAACAAAAAAACAAAAAGAGCCTAAAAAAACTAGCATTTTCCTTTTTTTCAAAATAAAAACCCTCTCAGAGAATAATTGCCCTGTCTCAGAACTCTGTCGAGATCTGTATATTTAGGAAGCTGTTTGAGTTTTATTTTAAGAAATTTGTTTCCAAAATTTACTTGAAAAATGCCACACTGCCATTTTTGCCATTTTATCCAATTAATTAATTTGTTGCTTGCAGGCTAAACTGTGCACACTGTGTATGTTTTTATGGAGTCAAAAGCCAATATGACCAGAGGGCGATTAATTCCACTGCTGGTCATTTTGGATCAAGCTACCATTACAGAGACTGATGGTCAACCATAGAATTAACCATAGCTGGAAGAGGGGAAAAGTGGAGAAAACAGCGCTTGAAATGGAGGACCGCAACATGGTGATGTGGACTATAGTGAAAAGTACGCAGACAAAATGCTACTGGAACCTCAGGTACTCCTACTATCCAGGCTTTACCTACCAGCCACCACTGAAGGACAGTTTAGAAACCTGTGTGGGAGTCTTTTGTAATTCGCTCCTGTTTGGGGAAAAAGGTCACTAATTCACTGTTGCATAAGACTGTGGAAGAGCAGCTTGAGCCAATCCCACCCGGCATCAGGCGAAAGGCGGGGTACACCCTGGACAGGTTGCCGGTCCATCGCAGGGCCAACACTCAGACGAACCTTTGTAAATATCTTCAGTACAATTTCCTTTTATTATAAAGCAACACATACACATTGGCTTCAGAAGGTATTCGGACCCCTTCACTTTTTTTACACTTTATTGTGCTGTAGATTTATTTATTTATTTATTGCCATGTAATTATTTCATTTTTAAAAAAAATCATTAATCCTTAATCTATAAAATATTTAAAGAGCATCAAACTAAGTCTTTGGGGCTGGTGGTCAGTCCTATTGGAAAACCTTAATAAGATCTTTTTGATGTAATAACCCTGGCTTGGCAGTGTTGGTCAGTCCTATTCCCACGGAAGATCCTAATAAAATCATTTAATGTGTTATAAAACTATAAACTATGACCGAAAACTTTCTGTAAAAATGAAAGTAACACCAAAGTGTGAGATCATCTGAAGTATGTAATTATGTCCCATAAAAATTGACAGCCTTTGATCGAGATGGAAACAGAGTGCAAAAAGTAGGTGAGACTGGGGGTTTAGATGACAGGTGACAGGGTCACAGGGCTATAAATCACTGCTTCACACCTCGATTTGACAGGTGTTGTATTCTTATACTCTTTTGCTTGTTAGCTTGTGAATGGCACACCAACTGTCTTGTTTCATTAGTTTGTTTAGTAAAGTAACTAAAGTTATCAGATGAATGTAGTGCAGTAAAAAGTTCACAACCATAGAATTAACCATAGCTGGAAGAGGGGAAAAGTAACCATAGTGTCAACCATAAGATTAACCATAGCTGGAAGAGGGGAAAAGTGGAGAAAACAGCACTTGAAATGGAGGACCGCAACATGGTGATGTGGACTATAGTGAAAAGTACGCAGACAAAATGCTACTGGAACCTCAGGTACTCCTACTATCCAGGCTTTACCTACCAGCCACCACTGAAGGACAGTTTAGAAACCTGTGTGGGAGTCTTTTGTAATTCGCTCCTGTTTGGGGAAAAAGGTCACTAATTCACTGTTGCATAAGACTGTGGAAGAGGAGCTGGAGCCAATCCCACCCGGCATCAGGCGAAAGGCGGGGTACACCCTGGACAGGTTGCCGGTCCATCGCAGGGCCAACACGCATACGAACCTTTGTAAATATCTTCAGTACAATTTCCTTTTATTATAAAGCAACACATACACATTGGCTTCAGAAGGTATTCGGACCCCTTCACTTTTTTTTACACTTTATTGTGCTGTAGATTTATTTATTTATTTATTGCCATGTAATTATTTCATTTTTAAAAAAAATCATTAATCATTAATCTATAAAATATTTAAAGAGCATCAAACTAAGTCTTTGGGGCTGGTGGTCAGTCCTATTGGAAAACCTTAATAAGATCTTTTTGATGTAATAACCCTGGCTTGGCAGTGTTGGTCAGTCCTATTCCCACGGAAGATCCTAATAAAATCATTTAATGTGTTATAAAACTATAAACTATGACCGAAAACTTTCTGTAAAAATGAAAGTAACACCAAAGTGTGAGATCATCTGAAGTATGTAATTATGTCCCATAAAAATTGACAGCCTTTGATCGAGATGGAAACAGAGTGCAAAAAGTAGGTGAGACTGGGGGTTTAGATGACAGGTGACAGGGTCACAGGGCTATAAATCACTGCTTCACACCTCGATTTGACAGGTGTTGTATTCTTATACTCTTTTGCTTGTTAGCTTGTGAATGGCACACCAACTGTCTTGTTTCATTAGTTTGTTTAGTAAAGTAACTAAAGTTATCAGATGAATGTAGTGCAGTAAAAAGTTCAGTGTTTGCATCTGAAATGCAGTGAAGTCAAAGTATGAAGTAGGAGAAAATGAAAACACTCCAGTAAAGTACAGATACCTCAAAATTGTACTTACAGTAAGTGCAGCACCTGAGTAAATGTACCTAATTACTTTCTACCTCAGATTTTCAGTACACCATGAGAAATAAAAATCAACAAGCAATATGCTGCTGTAGTTTAAGCTTCCCCTAAGTGAAATAGTGACTGTTACCATACAGTGTGTTGTCCAGTTTGATCTTATCTCAGAGATACACTGAGATGAACTTGACCTGACCATAAACTGTGCAGTCAGGAAAGTGTTTTGGTTTAAACCATACCCCACTGAGTATTACACTTATTTAATGACAGGAAATGAGTCATAAAGATCCTGTAAAGATGACTTCCTTCTATATTGAATTTCTGTAGTGCATTTTGAGGGTCAACCTGTGGAAGGGGGCTTTTTACAGAACCAGGTAGCAGTGCTTTAAATAAGATGCACTTCACTAGACAAGGCCTGACTACAAGGCAAAGACCATTCAAGATCCTCACAGGTTTGCTCTAAATTACAAGATTATCTGGTTTCCTAGATAAATGAAGGATTCATTTTTCATTTCAGACCTCAGACATATGTATGTGCTAAAATGAGATCATACAGGGTGTTTAAGTTTTAACATATCAGGTTAAAAAAATAAAGTATAATGTAGACCAGTAAGACTGAACTTGGTCAGATAATGAAAAGAAATGTGATCAATTCCTGCATTAAATGCCCAACCGCTTAGACAGTCTCACTTTTATTTAAGAGGGTAAGAATTAATTATTTTACTCTAAAAGCAACTCACATAACTCTACACAACTCTGGTGCATACTTGGCTTTAATGCAAGAGTGTGTTATAAGTTTATTTCTTTACATTTTAACTTTAAAGTTTCTAAGTGCTTGAGTGTGTGCAGGTATACACAGCACAGGGCTGACACCGTGTGCTGTAGAACAGCACTACCCAGTGGTTGATCACAGAACTCCAGCTGCTCCAAGTCTCCTGAGCTTGTACACAG